TGTCAACATATCCACCAGGCATTGTGCGGAGAATATGATATTTCTATAACGAACTGGTTCATTAATTGATCCGGGACCGGAAGAGGAGAGCAGGACGGCGTAATATTAATTTGTATTTCCGCCAATGTTTCGAACAGTGCTAATCATGTATCCGCACAACATGAAAGCAGATAATACACACGTGATACTACAGGTACTTGATGGCTGGAGCAGTAACACGTCCAGATGTAGCCGGTTCGAATCTTGGGCTGTGTATCGAATGTTCTGACTGAAATTGCTCACATTTTCCTCCAATTTCTCAGTACAGGAACTATAATTTTTGAAAAAGGAGACTACCAATTCCTGCACAGTTATTTTGTATACAATATTCTCATATATACTCATATACTCTAAATAGCCTTTGCAATTAGTACACAGAGTCGCGATGTAACGTATTCCATGGCCGCGCCATAGCTGAAGCGATTAGTCGCTTGCTTCCCCCCGCGGCGGTCCGGCTTCGATCCCGGGTCTGGTCAGGTGGGATTTGTGGTGGACAAAGTGGCGCCGGGGCGGGTTTTCTCCGAGTATTTGGGTTTCCCCTGCCAATCTTCATTCCACGAAATTCTCCATCATCATAATCACCCGGGGCAGACTACAGTAGGCTAATCAATGGCCGCCGTGCCGAGTGCATATCCTTCGTTCGGTTTCTTTTAGGTTTTCGAAACTTTCGCTGAATTTTAATAATACCCTGTTAACTTAATCTTACACTTCAAACGTCCGCCTTCTTAAGAGATACCCCACCAAAATTCAACATATATTTATCGTCGTAATATCGTCACTGGAATTTACTGCCTAGAGTCGCAGTTGTCTTCATTTTCTACCACTCGCGAAGATTCTGGTTGTCCATATAAAAATGAAACTGGGCAGGTTGGCTTAGCAGTAATGTTCTAGATTCATGTTCGAGACGTTCTCAGTTTGAATCTCTATCGATACACCGGTTATATTGATAAAGTTCTTCGTGGTTTTTGTCAGTCCCTCCAGGTAATTGCAGGGATAATACATGTGTTGAGCCACGACCACTTCCTTCCAAATATACTTTTGAAATCAGCATTTAGGATTCGTTCCGCTGTTCCATGTTTTATGTTTAGAAAGTTATAAGATCATAAACTAAACCAGATAATGCTTGAGAGGACATTAATACAAAAATAAAATGTCGATTCTCGGAGAGGGATTCCATATGGCCATAAATAGAACAGACCGTAAGGCCGTCGTGTATTTAAAACGTGGCGATATTCGCAGATTGGTTCTTGTACTATGAAAGGCTACAGGAAAGATTATCCTTGAAAGATCCTATACCGAACACTAGGAACCATGCATGCTGTTCACTGTTCAGTCTGTGCTCGCCTTAACACAGACCACCGGGATCGCAACTAACACACAAGAACCTTAATCGCATTTAGAGCATAATAAGTTTATTTTCTGTGTCATATGGTATCTGCCACCAGTGTGCGCAAAAAGACTGTACTGTACCCTACACCTAAGCATGTCCAAACGTGTCTGGCCTCTGTCCCATTGGTGTGCTTGACATAAACGTAGCACAAATACGTACCGGTACTTATGCATATTCACAGCAGTTAAATGAAATTACACAGTGAAATAACAGTTCTCTGTTTTCACTATAGTCATCGAGAGCTGATAAGGCTGGAAAATCATTTAAATGGATTATGAATGTAGCAATACATGTGTTTCTCTGTTCTGTGTCTTGTTTTGTTGTACACTTGCTTGTATCCTCACTGTATATGTGGCTTCATTGTAATGTTGCTTAAATGCATCACTTTGTAGGTGCTAGGCAGGTATGTTCCTGCAACAGTACAGCGCAGCCTCTGGCTGCAGTTCGGTGCTAGTGTTTATCTTGTTCTGTCAGTTCACCTTCACGATAGCAACAGTAAAGGTATCGGAAACGTGCATCTAAGCGGTATCATCAAGCACCAACATAATCCACATTAGAGCTTTATCGCTAATTACTATCAAAGTAAGTTCTCGTTTAAGGCCGCGCCATAGCTCAAGCGGTTAGTCGCTGGCTTCTCACCGCGGCGGTCCTGGTTTGATCTCGGGTCTGGTCAAGTGGGATTTGTGGTGGACAAGTGGCGCTGGGGAAAGTTTTCTCCGTTACTTCGGTTTCCCCTGCCAATCTTCATTCCACCAATTGCTCCACAATCACCTTCACCTATCATCTGGGGCTGGTACAATAGGCCAGAAGTGGCCGCAGTACAAGGGACTTAGTCCCACCCCACTAGCATTAAAAAGAAAGTTCTCGTTTAACGCCGTGGATACGTACTTGTAAACCGTGCCGTTGTTAAAGGGCATGAAGAAAACACTTTTTTTTTCCACAAGAAGCTGAAGAAGCAGGTAGCATACGTTCTTCTTGCAGTGAAATGTTGTCAGTGTGAACGCGACTGGAAATACACGCAATTATATACCCAGTAAAATAATGGTTATTTAAAACTTACTATAATATATTGTACAGGATTAATGGGGATCATCAGTGTGGGTTTCGAGATAACAGATCAACTACAGATAAGATCTTTTGCATTTGTCAGATATTGGAGAAAAATTGGGAGTACGATGAGACAGTACGTCAGCTATTCATAGACTTCAAGAAAGCCTATGATTCAGTTAGGAGGGCAGAATTGTACAATATTCTGATTTTGGGATACCCATGAAACTAGTTAAGTTGATTAGAATGTGTTTAAACGATACTTATAGTAAAGTCCGTATAGGTAAACATATGTCTGATAAATTTCCTATCCAGAATGGTCTAAAACAAGGAGATGCTTTATCGCCACTCCTTTTCAACTTTGCTTTAGAAGATGCAATTAGGAAGGTCCAGGGAAACCAGGTGGGACTGAAATGAAACGTGACACATCAGCTGTTGGTCTATGCTGACGAAGTAAATCTTCTGGGTGATAATATAGATACCATAACGAAAACACACAAACTTTAATTGACGCAATTAAAGATGTTGGTCTAGAAGTAAACACAGAGAAAACTAAGTATATGTTTCTGTCTCGTCCCCAAAATGCAGGGCAAAATCATGACATACAGATAGATAACAGACTTTTGAAAATGTGGCACAGTTCAGATATTTGAGAACAACGATAACAAATCAAAACCGGATTCATGAGAAAATTAAGAGAAGATTGAACTCGGGTAATGCTTGCTACTATCCAGTCCAGAACCTTTTGTCTTCTCGTCTGTTGTCCAAAAACATAAAAATTAGAATATACAAAACGATAATTTTGCCTGTGGTTCTGTATGGGTGTGAAACTTGGTCTCTGACATTAAGGGAGGAACATAGACTGAGGGTGTTTGAGAACAAGGTGTTGAGGAGAATATTTGGACCGAAGATAGATGAAGTGACAGGAGGTTGGAGAAAACTGCATAATGAGGAGCTTCATAACTTGTAATTTTCTCCAAGTATAATTAGAATGATCAAGTCAAGGAGGATGAGGTGGTCAGGTCATGTAGCACTAATAGGGGAGACGAGGAATGAATATAGGATATTGGTGGGAAAGCCAGAATGAAAGAGTCCGCTAGGAAGACCAAGGCGTAGGTGGGTGGACAATATTAAAATCGATCTTAGAGAGATAGAATATGATGGTATGGATTTGATTTGTCTGGCTCAGAATAGGGACCAGTAGAGGGCTCTTGTGAACACTGTAATGAACCTTCGGGTTCCATAAAATGCTGGGAAATATTTGAGTAGTAGCTGCAGATTTGGCTTCTCTTCAAGAGGGGCTCAGCTCCATAAGTATGTAAGTAATATTGTACAGGAGCCCGGATAACTGTTTGCGTTTATTCTGTGTTTGTGATGCCCTGTGTTCAGGTAGCGGCCTTGCGATGGGCTGATCACCTGTCCAAGGAGTCCTACCGACTGTGTATAGGATTAAGAAACTGAAAAAGCGGCCAAAGTCCAACAAAAGGACTGTAGAGCCATAGATAGGATTCATTAGTTATCGTCAGTTTACCAAAATATTTCTCGAGTTCACCGTGTTCCTAATTCATAGCCTCTTGAAAAATGTTACATTAATGAGATTTGGGGAGAATTCGGAGAACTGGGCATATATGAAACGGTAATATTAAATAGGGCTTAAGCGGAGTGTGAGGATGTGGGCTGGATTCATGTGGCCAAGGTTAGTGTTCAGTGGTGATTTGTGGTGAACACGGTAACGCAATCATTGGGTTTCGTAAGAGGCTGAGGATTTCTTTACCAGTTGAGCGACTATTAGCGGCTCGTGAAGGACTCTGCTTCATGGAATTAGTTAACAAAGGTTTCGTATTAGAAGATCTCTCATATAAATAGCGTACTCTACACTGAATGACTCTATGTTTAATTGTTTCTTGCATCCTGTTGTGTATTTAATCAATATTAGAGTTAATTTTACCGACCACACAACACGTTTTTATTTACTGTCACACTACATGTTTCGACCTCAAGAGGTCATCCTCAGGTGTACGAACACAGTTGCACAATCACACGCAATCACATTCAAAATAAGTGGAAAAACGAATGTGATTGCGTGTGATTGTGCAACTGTGTTCGTACACCTGAGGATGACCTCTTGAGGTCGAAACATGTAGTGTGACAGTAAATAAAAACGTGTTGTGTGGTCGGTAAAAATTAGCTCTAATATTGATGGCTCTATGTTATTTCCACTTAAATTCGTTCTGTCCTTATGTGATTATTGCCAAGAGCAGCGCTAGGATTCATAATAACTACATTATGAAACCTTGCACGGAAAATTAAACCACTAAAGTGTGTCGGTTCTTAGTTCCAGTATATATAAATTTTAGCAGATCCTGACTTATAGAGGTTTTTCATTGGTAAGGAATTTTGTTAAAATAATATGGTACAGATATGACTTTAAGAATACAGTGTTGTATGTATTTGATGGTAGCAGTGATAGGTCCTTTTGAACAACTGTTTGTACTCCTTACAGCGTATGGATGCCCAGTGACTAAATGGAGGATCCCTTGCTGAACTTACGCAGTAGACATTCAAAGTAAAATTGGGGAATCATTCCCTTTTTAACGGTAACATAAAAACAGTTCGGCGAAAACATCCATACCTTCGTGACTGTTATAAAGAATGACCGTCAGGCTTTGAACAAAGAACACAATTACAATGAATTGTGATGTAACATTTTTATGTTAATGTTTGCTGATCGCAACTTCTTCTAAGGAACTCTGCAGACAAAATATCAAAAGGATTGTGTTAATTATAGGAAGCCGTACATAAAAATATGCACTCATAAATACCTATTGGTCCGCAAAACGGGAATCATAGATTGAACTTCAAGGTCATGCTTTCTGACACTGTTCGTGTGTGTGTAAAAGTGCGTCGATTAAACGAAATTCTATTTTATCGTATTGATATTTCCTAACCGTTTCCATCCAATAATTGTGAAGCCGCAGTGAAGAGATTATCAAACTGTGAGTTACCCATAACACAGCTCAGTGTGCTACATATAAGTACACACACTCTTATATTTGTAATCGAGAAATTTACTCAGATGGAATCTATTCAAATATAAATGGTATAGATTATTTGGATGAGTGCTGTGTTTAAACCGTAAATGCAAGTGAACGTTTCGTTTAAATATTTAATAAAGCTTCTGCAAACAAATTTTCATATTGCTCAACCCTACAGGCGTCATACAATTATCGTATGGGACGTCTGGCAGAAGAGCGTGCAAAAGATTCGGAGAATATAGGAGTTACGCGAGAAAGGCATGTGTCGTCAGTATCGCACGGTTATTTATGATCTTATTTATGATAAAGATAATGAAAGTGAAACAACTGTCATTAATACACGTGACATTATGATGACAATGCTGCTGAAATCCGAGGAGTTCAGGATCAAGATGGCGCTTTTCGGGATGGTGTGGCTATTGCGCGTGCGCGCCGAAATGCGTCGTTGCGCCAAGTGTCGACGAGAGGAAATGCAACAAAAACAGCAGCAGCAGCAGCAACAACAACAACAACAACAACAACAACAACAACTCCAACAACAAAGGCAGGAAAGTCTGCAGTCCAGTGATGACCACATATCGACCTCTTCTGCAGCCACGTTTTATACTCTGGATACCCCTGGTCCTGGTGGCACCTACTGTGAGGTTCACGGCTATGTCCCGCCCAAGGAAGGTGAGTCGCTCTTATCCCGCTATCCTACTTTCGGAATATGTATGGAGTGCATAAAAATAGACTAGAGGCGCGTGACATGCGTAATTCACAACGCTCCGACTTTTCGCATTGACCACTGTGCCTTGACGAATTACTGTTGCAGTGAACAGTTTTGGTATGTACTTCTCCGGCCTCGCGAACACGCTGTCACGTGTCACTGATGTTTTGTTTACATTCACTCCAGAGATATTCCGCGTATAGTTTCTTGTCTCGTCCACAAGGGACGCACCAAGCAGTTGAAGGTACAGTAAGATAGTGACTTGAGGCCGCGCCATAGCTCAAGCGGTTAGTCGCTAGCTTCCCACAGCGGCGGCCTGGGTTCGATTCCGGGTCTGGTCAAGTGGGATTTGTGGTGGACAAAGTGGCGCTGGAGCAGGGTTTCTCCGAGTACTTCGGATTCCCTGCCAATCTTCATTCTACCAATTGCTCCATAATCACCCTCACCTATCATCTGGGGCTGGTACAATAGGTCAGAAGTGGCCGCAGTACAAGGGACTTAGTCCCACCTCACTAGCAATAAAAAGAAAAGATGACTACATGTTCAATTTTTCACTCTGTGAATAGTAGTTTTAAACTACTAATATTTTTTGTTGTCATTTCAAGGCATGCTATTTTGAACTATTCAGAGCGTATATAAATATATGTTACAACTTTCTGTGGTAGATAGAAGGGTTCAGTTTGATCACATTTATTAAATACAACCATGTCTGGAAACGCTTGCTTTTGGCACTAAAGGTCACAGAAGTTTCTGATAGGATGCATAAGTTGTAGGGGATGTTATCGTTGTTTTACATCATAAAAGTTGCACAAAATGGCTGCCGCCGACTTCATTATATATTCTGCGCCACCTGGCCATATCATGCTGAACTCTTTGAAAGATTCCCGTCATTTCCCGAATGGTTCCAGCTGCTACTGCAATTCTTGCCACAATACCATGTTTCGTCTCCACTGGAGTCTCGTACACCAGGCTTTGCATGTATGCCCAGAGAAAGAAATCCAGTGGAGTCAAGCCAGGAGAGCGAGGGACCAGGTTATTTGGCCTCCACGTCCAATCCGTTGCCAAAGTTTTCATCCAAATACTCACGGACAGCATTAGTGCAGTGCGCCAGGGCGCCATCAAGCTGGAACCGCATTTCACGACAGACTTCCAAAGGCACCACTTCCAGCAGCTCGGGTAAGGTCTCTTGGAGAAATGTAAGGTAAATGTCACCAGTAAGCCACAGAGGTAAGAGTTAAGGTCGTCCTCCTTCACATTCCAGAGGCCCTAACGCGAAAACAAAGCGTTTCCAGACATGGGTGTATTAACAAAATATGATAACATTGAACCCATCTCTCTACCACAGAGCGTTGTGACGTATATTTATTTACACTTTGTATATTGTCTTCGTTAAAATTTGTCTGACTTCCATTCTCCTGCATGGGATTGTTTCTTTAGGGTTTAGGCGTTCTCTTCACTCACCTTTATCGGCGATCCTTTGCAAGTCCTCCCAGATGTCATGCGACTGTGGTTTTAACTGCGAGGTTTCAATTTCCATCGGGAGTTTTGGTTTCTTTGTCTTCATCTGCGTCTTCAGAATAGATTTAGCATATACAAAATCTCCTATCCTCCGATTACGGTAGGTTTTCTTTCCGGGATTAAGGCGGCCGAAACCAGAAGCTGATCACTAGTGTGCATATAGCGCTGAAGCCTAGAATGGAGTTTACCTCCATGCCCCAAATAAGTCTTTGTGGCATGTTTAGGGACAAGGGCAATTTTGTTCTCCAACAAACATTCTAGGTAATAAATTGACAGTGTGATGCTTTACCTCCTGTTACAATTCAGGGAAAGTAAGTATATGCTGATGACACTCCTGAGGCATGCAACACCATTCTGGTCTACAGAGAATATACGCAGTGTCACTGCACTGTAAAGCGTGCATATGAAAGTGAAACAAATTTTGAAGGCTATGTCTTCTCCTGAAATTTAATTCAACGGCAATCTTGATTTCAAACTACTAAAGCCCTGTTACGCCTCTTTCTGTCACAGAAAGAAATTGCCTTGGCTTATTCTAAGCACGTTTTATTTGATTGTTACTGTGTTCCTATACATCCGCTTTACACGTCACAACAAGGAAAATAAAAACTGCGCCATGAACTGTTAGAACGGACACAATAACCATTAACCGAATGGAACTGCACAGCAGTAACGCGTCTAACACATTTCGAAGTTGGCAGTTCATTTCATGGCCAGATCAGGTTAGTCTTCCTGACAATTTTCGTGTTTGTCATCACTTCTGAATGGGCTAGTGAGCGTTGCAAGCGGATGGGTAGCGATCCTGTTTCGTATTCGGGAGGTCTAGCTTTCAAATATCTCCCGAAGACGGGCTATTCTGACTGAAGGTTTTGTGGTTTTCCTCTGTCCCTTCAGATGAAATACCTATAGTTGTGCCACGACCTCTTCATTCGATATCGTTTTGAATTTATAACTCACTACTGATCCTCTCGCGCAACATTATATAATCTTATCAGTTGGAAGAACTCTTAAATAAACGATTAATAAACATCTGTAATCATACTGTAATGGACCCCGCTTCCAAGTTAATCCGTTGATGCTTCTTAGAAATCTCTTGCGGCCATTACCTGGCAATGACCGTTGTTTATAAAGTCATTACTTAGCAACGGGTCTGTATGCTACAGTATCATTATTTATCCATGTGTCTGTAGCCCACCTCCCCCAGAACTCGTAAACAGAGGCTACCATCGTGGAACGGAGTTGTTTGTTTGTTACGATGAAATTTCTCGTGTTACATTAAGAATTATTCAGGAATATTTTCCACGAATTAACATGAATAATTTATGTATATGTATGTATAATCTGTAAAGCGCATTAGACAGTAAATAAGAATATTTATCTCACTTTATATACTGGATGAGAGTATGTGTAACGGGGTAAGGGGACATGTTGAATGAGGAATTCTGCGTTTTGTGAAAGTGAGACAGGAAACAAGTTCCAGTATAGAAGAGCCCTAGGCGATTTGTCACGTTTGCACCGAGACACATGAAAGTGATCTCCAGTAACAGTAGATTCTGCGCACAATCTTCAGGCAGCGGTGACACAGAACTACATACAACTGTGAAGACATTGGTTTGTTTAAACATCATTATTGAATCGTCGACATACCCCCATAGGGTTTATTAACTTCGTTAACTTATGGAGTAAATTAAAGAAATTTGAGTTGGCATTAAATATCCTTTTGCTGCCAAAGTGGATCTAGTAGTAGTTGTTGCACATGTATGAATGTATAAGTGGTGGGCCTTCTCGGCCCTTGCACCGCGACCTACAGTGGTCTATTGTGCCTCTTGCACATGTATGGTACTGTCTTCAATAATAGGATGTTCTGAAATGAAAATAAATCAGTTTAATAATTCCAATGTATGATATATTTCCTTAGCATCGCAAACTTCCCCCACTTTCCGCCCCTGCTATTTGGATGCAACCAAGCGTAGCGTAATGCTTCATTGTAGACACGCAGTTTACATATACCTCGAAACAAAACAGTCGAAAATCATACCCCCCTCCGGAGAGTTAGTCGTTGCAGACTTTACTCGAGGCGAAAGCAGAACAATGAAAATCCATTTGAAATGGTAGAAGCTCGTCGTACCCAGCGCATGTCGTCGCAGAACTTCCGTATGGGGACAGAATATTTCCCAATGGAGGTGCTAATTGAGAACACGGCACGCAGTTGTCTCGAATGCCTTTCGATCCAAACTTTGTGCCCAGAGGAGTTGTTTCGTTTGGCGTATGCTGGAACAAGGTAAAATTTCAAGAAAACAAATGGCTGTTGGCAGCGACTTGCAATAATAATGTGTAAGATATTTTTGAAGAAGAAATAATCATGTAGGACGGAGTGGATTCAAGCAGGATTTGCAGAATATTCTTGACTGGAGCCTCCGCTTCGCCTGCTAACATTGCAGACATGAAATCCCATGTTGGAAATTCAAAATACAGTTTTCAAGAGGCTCTTCTAAATAAGCATTATCCATAAAAATTATGACAGATTGAGACAGAGAGATTATTGTTGGTATATCGATCTACTGGCAGAATTAGAACTTTTTTATTGTGAAAAATAATTGTAAATAGAAAAAAATGCCTAGGAATTGGCCAGCCGACCTGAGAGAGGGATAACGAGGACTTATCTCTGGATAAACCCTCTACACGTCACGAAGAATAATACAGCAAATTAGCTTATAGAACAAATGTAATTCTGATTGCTAATATTTTGTAAATAAAAAAGACGGATATGCCCATCCGGCTTTCTGTAGCACATTCTTAGAAACATCTTATTCTGTTTTCCCGCGAATCTTAACATATATCTTACCGTAAATCTGAGAGTATACTCTTATTATTTTATACTTTTACTTATTTTTCATTTCTTACATATCTATTTTAAATATAGGAATATTGTTCGTGGAGCAACAGTGCCTTGCAGAAATCTGTTTAGGCTTGGTTTCAGACTGATATGGCCTGCTCTCATACGGTTTATTTGCACGACGGTTCATTTTTATCTCGCGGAACCACGGATAAGTACCTGCGACCAGTACATTGCTGCGATCTGTCGGCGCACGGCATTACCAAAATCTCACATAACGTCATTAGTTAGCCATTAGAATGAACCAAGCAAAAGGTGGGAGGAGAGAGAGACTAGAGAAAGGAAATGCGAAAGAAAGATGGGAACACATAATAAGAAATCAATGTGAAAAAGGAGATGACAACGAATATAATAATAGAGGAAATAAAAATTAATAAATGAGAGCTAGAGAGAGAGAGAGAAGGGGGCTGAAAGAGAAAGAGGCAGAGAGAGGTAACTTCCTTTCTCCACAAAGGGAATATCTGGCTCTGCATACAACTGCAACAAATTCAGATCCTATCAGAGGTTAACCTTGTAGGTCTGATAGATAAACAGACTCCGTCTGCTGTACCG